GGGGGAGGGGGTCCCACGAACGAGCTAACTCCTTTCTTTTTGGACCTAAAAACCTTAAACTTGGCATACAACTTCGTCATGATACAGGTATTACGATGAAAAAAATTTTTCCCGGATCCAAGATGGCCGCCATTTTTATAGCGGATCTTCACATCATATTTTCAAATAAATACTCCTCTAAAATTTACGAATGGATTTTATTGTTCTTTGGCACACATGTACCCAAGAGGCATATAAGTTATACATTGTCAGCATCTTTCGATATTTTATTTCGTCTTGGAGTTACATGAAAAATCGTGCAAATCTTGTCAAAAATGCAGAAAACGGTCAATTTTCCATTTTTACAAAAAATCATAAAATGAAAACCAAGATAGATATAAAAAAACCGCTGACATTGCAATGTAACCACCCCTAAGGGCAACAAGTATGCTAAGTGCCATCAAGATACACCTGTAATCGTCAGAGGAGTTTCGAAAAATGTGTCAAAAATTTAAAAATCAAATATTTTTGACAAAAAATGAGATACCTCTCTAATTAGTGAAGATAGAATAGTAATGTGAGAAGAAAACATGTTAGGCATCAAACTAGCTACGACTGAGCCAAAGGACAATTAAATCAACAGAGCAGTGACTGAGTAAAGGCAAAAAATATTGTAATACCCAATTTGACCCAGATTGACCAAAAATAGGTGGGACCCCCCCCCCCCCCCCCCCCTTAATTAAGAAGGTGGACTTTCGCACCTGCCTGTCAGGACTAACCCAGATTGAGAGGGATACAACATTCCAGCAGAAATACCGAGACCTCGATATAAAAAGATCTCCCCTCACCGGAATCAAGCTCAGGTCTCCTTCAGTCGACGGCAAAGTGTCTGACCACTACACCACAGACGAGGGCATGTCTCTTGAGCAAATTGTTGCTGTCAATCTACCTAAAGTACGTCAAAACTACGACGAACAAAGGAAAAGCAAGTTTGTTGTCGAGTTTGATGAGTTGCATCGATTAGTCCTATAAGCTTTGGTAAACTTCTTAAAATACTAACAAATTACGTGAAATTTTGTGTTACGAAAATGTCCAGTCAGAAATAAAAGTTTTGGTTTTTCCTGAAAACTTCATATTTTGAGATTCGACAATGATGAATGACAGTTCTTTTCTGTGTGTTTCACTATCTTGTAATATTTCTAACCTTCGGCTCTTACGTGACCTAATTGTGTTGCAAGTGTCGTAAAACTCAAAGTCAAAGTAAAGACGAAATATTTTTCCAAGCGTGAACAGACCCGGACCCCCGAAGAGCCTGAACATAACCTCCTCTTACAGAGCCCTGAGACAGGAAACACACACACACACACACACACATACACACACACGCACACACACACATACACTCTCTCAAACACACACATACACACACACACACATACACACACACATACACACACACAGACACACACACATACACACACACATACATACACACACAAACAAACACACTCACAAAACTATACACATACATACATACATACATACACATACATACATACACATAAAACACACCCTTCATCAGTGCAGGGCACACAGGGCCCTAGCAGTGCACCTGTTTTGTCACATATCTTTGTTTCACGACCTGTTTTCGTCCCACTTTCTTCAGTCACGATGTACCTGTTTTCGTGCTACATTTGTAATATGTGTCACGATGTGAATTTTCTCATTGAAAACCCATTTTGAAATCGGAGTGGCAATTGCAGAAACATTTAATGTAATCGAATCAATGTTGGACAAAAATGAGTAGGACGAAAACGAGTGTGAACCCCATGCAAGAAATGAAATGATATTGTTGAAATGAAGCACGGTTGAAAAATTTCAGGTCAGATAGAAAATGAAGGGGGAAAAGTCAACCAAATCAGATGAAATGTGGAAATATACCGTGTTTTGGTCACTTAAAACGACACCAGAACATTATGAAAGAGGTGCTTGAAGGATGGATGTTGGGCAGGAGAGCCAGGGGTGGACAAAGAGTAACATGGTTTGATATTTTAACACATGGACTTGCCATGTATAACAGCATTTGCAATGGCAGCTCGTAATCGTGAAGGATGGAGGGTCATTACACGTCAACCACTGAGTCAGATATGACACCTCAAGATATTCTAGGTATGGAATTTGAGTAGTAGAATCCGAAACTGGTGTCCGGATTTCAAATACGATACGTCTTAAGTTTTTGTTGTTGTTGCTTGTTCTGTTTGTTCTCTTTTATTAATTTAAACAAAAACCCCTGAAATCTCACCCAACTTTTGGTCTAAGTCATCTGAATATGATTTTCATATGGAGTTTAGTAATGGAATCTGAATCTGATTTCATAGTTTCACTATCAAGTCAGGGGTTTTAATTGCGCAAGATACAGACCCGTTATACGAAAGGTGATATTGTGATAGGAAATCCCAAGATAAAATGTTTGTACCCGATTCATTGCCGTATGACCTCTGTGTTGACAACATTGCTGGTATATGCGCCATGTGGAAGTCCATGCTGGGCAGCAGGTCTGTTTGTATGTTTTCTAATAGAGGCCCTGGACCAAGTACGACTCATTGCGACATAATATAATTGCCCATGTGAAAAATTAATCGCCCAGTAACGAAATCCCTATTCTTTTTAAAGTCTGTCCCTGAGCTTTGTTGGCAGTCATTGTAAAAGCAGGTCTAACCGGAAATTGTTTCCGTCGCATATGGAAGGGAAATAATAATATTATGTTGTCTGAAGGCAGGAGGGGAATCCTTGGGATGAAAAGTCTCTTTCCGACAGGTGGACTGGACTGCAAACAACGACAGCATCAATTGCATGTTGATGAAGATGCGGAACTACATATCGAGTCCCGTTGCAGCGGTCGTTTGTAGGGCCCGGATTTCTCAGCAACATGGCAATGCTGTCTTTCTGCAATGTAAGTTAGTGGGTTGGCATACCTGACGAACATTTACATCTAGATTCCAGGATATAGAGATCTAGATCTAGAACCTTGCTCTATAAAAGGCTAAGCAGAAAATTCGCTCCAAATTTTGAAAACGCCAAAACAACGAAGTGAACATTTTGTGGGTTTAATTATTTAACCCATTGACGATCAGTGTCCCTTTTAAAGGACATTTTTTTAATCGACTTCACAACGCCATTAATTCAAGCAAATCATTACTATTTTGTTTCCTCAGATGGAAAAGAGGTTATTTTTTTGTATTACTTTCACGCTAATTTCCTATCAACTTTTTGTTTTTTGCTGTGTACATTTTCCCTCCTCTCATTAAAAAATGGCGGAAAAGGGCACCCAACCAAAAAGGTAAGACCGTAATTTCACAAAATAAATGCTTTTGAAACATCTAAAACAAAGTTGTGCAAATACGTACAAATATTACACTCACCCATACTTGCAGTTGCTGTAATCATTCTATAGATATTTTTTCAGAAAATATTTTAAAAAATCCATGTGTCCTTTTTAAAGGACACTGGGAACGAATGGCCCCAGTGTTTCTCCTAGTTGAACATCCTCTGTAAAGGACACTGGTCTTTGTGCTATATGTATGAATGGGTGTATATATGTATGAGCGGGTGCATAGAGAGAACACGGTTTGTACCCCACGCTTTTCGGGATTTTTTGCCCGGGGAGGGGGTTGGAGGGTGTTGTCAGCCAAGAGTGGGTGTGTTATAGGTTTCTGGGTGTATACATATACGTGAGTGTAATGGCAAAGTTATACGCGGGATTTTTTTTTGGTATACGTGGGTGTATAATACCTTGGTGCATAGGCTATAAATATCTATTCTGCTCCTAATAATTGCGTCTTGCTGCCTTTTTGTCACTCACCTTATGGGAATCTAGTGTTAAACCATATTCTTACGCATTCTGAGGTTGGTGAAAACGTGAGCAACTGAGATGTAATAAGTAGATGTATCGGTATAAGTGGGTATAAAGGTTTTCGCAGGTTTGTTTGTATAGGTGGGTGTTTAGGTATATCAGGGTGTATATGTACTTTAGACATCCTGTGTCTTCTTAAAAACTTTGGTTTCTTTATATTTTTTCCAAGATCAAAGGCATTTACATTGAATGAAGTGCTCAGCCAATCGAAAGATGATGATAATACTGAAATTGCCTCAGCCGATGTCTACATATCTCCACCAGGAGATGAACAGAATTAAGACGAAGATGATGTCAATGACGATGTGTAAGAATCATAGTCATCAAACGATTTACCAGGAAGGCAACTGCGACGCAGCCTCAGTTCAGTGTTACCTGGTGGTCAACAAAGGAGAAAAAAATCCTGGTTGATCGGCCATATCTAATCAACAGGTACAATTCAAACATAGGTGGTGTTGACCGCCTAGACCAAAATGTGGGTACCTATCGGATATCAATCCGATCAAAGAAGTGATGATTGCTGTTGTTTGCCTTTCTGGCAGATGTAGCCATCAACAATGCGTGGCTACTGTACAGATTGTCACCGGCTCATGGCACTCTGCCTTTGGATCAACTGGCCTTCAAGAGATCTGTGGCTCAGATCTACCTTGGCCTATTGAGAGCTCAAGCAGCCTTTGCCAGTTGTGCAAGCTAAATAGAACGAGCAAATCGCCGGAAGATAGCACCAGAGATTCGCCATAGCGGTCTAGGCCACCACTTAAAACCAAAGCCCAAACAAAGACGATGCAGTCTCTGTGGGAAAAAGGCCAACACACTGTGAGGTTCATGCAATGTGCCACTGCATCAGAGGTGCGCTGAGCAATTTCATGCTAGATTTGACACTTATGCTTGCTATCTTTTGGATATCGTGGATGTTAAAAAAAATCGCCTAAAACAGCTTGACATGTTTGAATTTGAATGATTATGTATACAATTCATACATTTTTCTATGATACAATTTCCTAGAACGGTTCAATTTTGGTTTACTGAGATCTTTGACTTCGGAATAGGCCTACCCAATGCCCAGTGTCCTTTATAGAGGACATTTGACTGGGAGAAACACTGGGGCCATTCATGCCCAGTGTCCTTTATAAAGGACATAATTAAAAATCTGAATATTTTTTTTTTTAATGGAAATACTCCAAGTGTTATGGTTTTTTCAGTTGAATGCACGGTCACATTTTCTAGGTGAAATCAGTTAATTTTTGAGACCTTGGTCTTAAATGGTTAAACAAACTTAACATGATGGGGACATCAATACACCAAATATATCTAGAAAAAGTCGAAATAACGAAGTTTGACCTGAAGTCCCCATCGACACTGCGAAGCACACATCCAAAGAGAGTCAGATATCGAGATTCTTGATCTGGAAACAGTAGAAGCAGTTTTGTAAACACGAAGTAGAACGGTGTGAAACACAAAAACACGACAAGGCAAAAAGCGCACTTCTGTTCTTGCTAACTTCTCCAAATCAGTCTTGAATTCTGTGCTCTAAATCTATCTAGGATATGGAGAGATCTACATTATCTAGAACTACAGTCTTGCTCTATTAAAAACTACGCACCAAATACGCGCCAAACTTTGAAAACGCCAATACAACGAAGTAAACATTTTGTGGATTTAAACAAACTCAACGTGTTGGGGACATAACTACACCAAATCTAGAAAAAGTCAATACAATGGAGTTTGGTTAGAAGTATTCAACGACATTATGAAGCACACATCTAAACAGAGTCGGATAACGAGATTCTAGATCTGGAAATAGTAGAAGCAGCTGTCTTACACTCGCGACGAAGCACAAAACGAAACGGAAGTAGTCCCAGTAAAATATGAAATGGCTAATGGCAGTCAAAACTGCCGAGAGCCTCAATTTACAGGAAAAACCATCAATCCTGAAAATAAAAAGGTAGCTTTTGAACTTTAAAAATATGCTCGCGTAACCCTTTGTGACAATTTTTTACTGAATCATATTTTTTATAGATTATTGGGCACCAGTGTAAAAAATATATACTGACCACACAAACGGGCTTAGCTCCATAATAATAAGATTCGCCGCAGTTTTCTTTTCCATTTGATTCACTTCACGTATTAAACATATAACTTTAAAATCACACTCGCATATGAGTATCAAGAATACAATTGGATTCTGTGAAATACAGTTCATTATGACATAACATCTTTAAAAATAATAATGTGAAAACTTGGGAGCGAAACAAAGACACGGGCCACTTTAGAGGTTCTTTTTTTTGCACTTATGTCAGCCAAAGTCTCTTCTGAGCGTTCAACTGAAACCAATTGACCTATGAGTTCCACTTCTCTTGTTATTTTATTTTTTCCATTTCCATGACACCCTGATGGAATCTTTCACGTTGCTTACCCCAGACACCACCCAAGTCTGCCGGGAAGAGGCCAAGGCGGTTGTTAAGGAAATGAATTTTCACCGACATCCTTGCTCCGAGAAATTCTTTTTCACTCTCAATCGGCGATTGCTTCAGTCATTTTGGGGGCAAACTGAGCTATGGACACATCTAGATAATTTGACTAGTTCCCCATATTTCTGTCAAAAGTTGTGTTTGAATTTTAATAAAACCGATAAAAACGATTTTTAAAGACTGTTTGTGTCATGTCGGATTGTAAGTGCGATAGTTTATGTTACCCCCCCCCCCCCCATAAACTCCTCCCAAAAAGAGATTTAAGCAATTACCGAATGCGCGTGACGTCATACACAGTCAGTTCTTTCGCTTAGGCATTGTCGTCTTCACTCTTGTGACACACAAGAAAGTTTTGACACAGATCTGTAAAGTCTGACCAGGACTTTTTCTCAAGCAAAGTCATATTCCTTCAAATGTGTCACCAAATATGACTCCTATAATGTCGGGTCCAACTAAAATGCCCTCTTTCAACTTAATTGGTACCACCAATGCTTGGAAATTGCTTTTTCAGTCAAGGCACTGCAGCATTACACTCACTAAAAAAACCCATCTGAACACACTATGGATGGACACTAAACCTTAGAAATAATTCACGAAATGAAAAAAAAACTAAACAGGGGAAACAACTCACATTAACTTTAATAAATGGTCACCAAATAATTACCTGCCTTAGAGGTTTCATCAACCTTTCGTTTTACAATAAAAAAAAGTGACTAATAAACATTTTCTTTTGCAAAGTCTTCTGAATTTAACCTACATTATTTTTTTTTAGCAAACTTATTATTTCTCAAATACACTACAGAAATGAAAAAAGTCTAAAATTAATGTAAAATAGCATGTCTTTGAAAAATGTGATATTAGACTGTATACAACTGTAACAAAGGTGGTGTCAGTAGCTTCCGGACTTAAAATGATGAGATTACAGTTTCAGGGGTTCGAGCCTCAGGTCGGTCCGACGTTGTGTCCTTGAATTTTCCACTTAGCTTAGTCCTTTCAGAGATGGACGTTAAACTCGGAGGCCCGTCTCTTAAATAAATTAACAGTGCTTATAGGGCCATTAATCCTATACCATTTCACCGTATTCACGAAATATAAGAAACGTTGTAAATTGATTTTCTGGAAATGATATAATAAATAAAATTATTTTCCTTGTTTAATTAACAGAGACAGCTATTCTTACTTCCAATGAAAATGTTCCGAAGATCTAATATTGTATTTCAACTGTGAATTCTGCAAAAACCTGACCTGAAAGACGGAAACTAACAATTTGGAATTAACACACCAGTTCCCGTTATAGTTGATAATTGTGGTCTTTTAATCGCTGACCAGTAATTATTATTGTGTGATTTCAAACAACAAACTCAACAAGACAAAACCTTATCAAATCAACTTTTATTCTTTACTCCAGTCTTTCACACTGGAGTATGTTTCAAATTTCGGCACGAATCACGACTTAATTTTACTTTTAGTTTTTCCATCTGTTGATTCCGATAGATGTCGCGGGAAGAAATAAAAATACAATGTTCTGTCAGCTGTGAGTCAAGTGGCTTGATGAAGGGTCAGGTCGTGGGCTCTGGTGGTGTCCTTTACAGGGTCGATCCAGGGCCGTCTTGGTCTCCATACTGTTCATAACACAGGACTGGTATTGTTATTCATTAATGTTTTTCTTATGTTATTTTTAAAATCTATTTCTTTCCGGGGGTGGGGGGGGGCAGTGACGGAGGAGAGGGGAGCATCAATCAACCTACGGCTGGCGTAATTGGCTTAGCTACGTACGCTTTACACACGGCGTTTTGGCTGAGATAAGGGTTCTTGGTACAAGCGCCCAACAACTGGCTACAGTCGCAGTTGGAGGTGAGCAGCGAGCTGTCACTTTTGCACGTGTCCACGAGTGTCTTCAGATTGTCCCCGAGAAAACCGGCCACTGGGATCTTAATGTCGGTGTTGGTCCGGTAAAAGGCGTACTTGACGGGGCATGTGGGGTCCTTACTTTTGGGCACGGCGGCCCAACGATTGAGGGCGTATTCCTTGGACAGGAGAAGTCCCTGCTCCCAGCGGTTTTTCCACTCGACCAGAGTGATGCAGCCGTCTTTGTTGGTGTCGTAGTTGTTTTTGAAGTCGTTGAAGATCTCCGGGCCCGTGACGAAAGAGTCGTTGTTGGCATCGTTGATGGCCATGTTGACTCGGAATCTTTGACCCAGGGTGCCCTTCCCAGTGCACACGTCACCCCAGGCAGGGGAGGTAAGAGCCACGAAGACGAGGATGGCGTAAGACAACTGCTGGTAGAGACGAAGAAAAAAAACCACACTAAAAAGTATTCTGATGTAACAGCTGTTTAAAAACTTCCAACTTCGACATGAAACTAACCAAAGACTTTCTTAAAACATACGTTTGTAGAACTCCCTTGTCCTTTTCTCTACAGAACAGATTTGCCCTTTTTCTATAGAAAAGACTTTTTTGTCCTCAATAGAACATAATTTTTCACATTTTCTATACAGGTAGAACAACCAATTTCTTTATATATAGAACAGATACTTCCTTTCTCCTCCAGAAGAGACTTTTTTTTCTCAAAGAACAAACTTTTCGTTTCTCTATTTCTCTATAGAGCAAATTTTTCCCTTTATATTTATAGAACAAATATCCTCTCCAAGGAGATAGCTGGAAGATCTCTAGAAACGCTGAAGATATCTACAACTTCTGTTTGTACTCACCATGATTGTGGCTACTCTTGTGTAGAATATGCAAACCCAGACAACTCCAGCTCCTTTTATACCTGGATGTTTACTTATTTTTAGGTCACAGACAATCTGTAGTTCCATTTTCAAGACATGTAAAAAGTAGGACGAAGCTGTGACGGAAAAAAGTGAAGAGTTGATAGTTCACGATCCAAGATAATTGGAGATGTTATTCGAGAGCTGGCCCAGAATTCTTTCAGGAGAAAAACTAGGACAAGGAAAAGATAGGTCAGTGGAGTCAAAGAGTCCCTCAAAAGTCACAATGCTAGTATTATGATGTTTGAAAAAGCAACAAACAGAAATGACCTACGTTCTAAAATTATTTTTCCCTTCGACACGTCGTGGTATAAGAAGAGGACAGAAGAAGTAATTGAAAGTAAAATCTCAGAATTAAAAAGATAATAGCCATAAAAGAACCAATTGTGTCTTGATTGAAATACCACTTGAACAGGCAGTTAGCTGGACGTTCCCTTTATGGTTCAATATAGTCACAATGAACAGAATTTCGCCATATTTGCAATATTGCTACCCTATAAATACAAAGTTCTTTTTGCTCAGTACCTAGTTTTGACATATCCGACACCAAAGATTTTCAGTTTCACAACATATCCGGCTTTTTAGAATGTAATTCTTTCAATAGCTTGACAACGACCCTGAACAATCTGACGATTTTAACAGAGCAGATACAAGATTTAATTTCTGACCTTATTGTCTTAATGACTTTAAAAAACCCAAAATTGTAGGATGGAACTTTGTAATTTAAAGGTAGCGCAATATCCGAATGAATGAATGAATGAATAAATGAAAGAATGAATAAATGAATGAATTGAATCCTATATTGGTGTAAAGTAGAACAAAGCAAACGTCAAAGATATTTTCAAATCCTTTTAAAGATACATACATGAAGAAGATACCATCGACTTTTCAACAGAACATGAATTTTTAAATTTTTTAAAAAATAATCGCAGTCCCACCAAGATTGGAACTTGGATTGTTTTCATCCCACATTCATTCTATAACTTGAAGGTTACTGAAATGGCCACGCCGATTTCAAAATTACAATTGAAAGAGAAAATGTTGAATATTATTGCAAAAGGATGGACGAAAACGAAAGAAATCGTGACTGAAGAAGACAGGGTGACGAAAACAGGTACCGGTACGGAAGTGAAACAAAGATGTGGGATGAAAACATGTGCACTTCTCATTCATCTTTATCCTTCACTGCTGGAGGATGTGTGTGTGTGTGTGTGTGTGTGTGTGTGTGTGTGTGTGTGTGTGTGTGTTTGTGAGTGTGTGTGAGTGTGTGTGTGTGTGTGTGTGTGTGTGTGTGTGTGTGTGTGTTGTGTGTTTCCTGTCTCAGGGTTCTCTAAGAGGAGGTTATGTTCAGGCTCTTCGGGGGTCTGTTCACGTTTGGAGAAATATGTATTCTTTAGTTTTACGGCACTAGCAACACACTTAGGTCACGTAAGTTCCGAAGGTTAGAGATATTACAAGACAGTGCCATGCAGAAAAAGACACGTCATTCCTTATGGCCTTATGCAGTTGTGAGCTCCGTAAAACCGTACAAAAACCAAATTTATAAAACTAAGGTCTCCTGTGTGCGACAGCGAAGCGCCTAATCACTACACCACAGATGGTGGTCTGTGTCGTTGTTGAAACTTTGCTCAAAGCTCAGTAATAGTAAAATATTCAACTTTAATTCTCAGAATGCAAACTAGCTTAAGGTGAAGGTCAGACAAGGGAAAGCGTGTCCAAGCTCTGGGGCCGGATAAACAATATCTGGGTCTTTCTCTATTATTATCTCGAAAAAGGAAAATGTATCTGTCTTCTCTTTTAAACGTATCTGGGTCTTTGTCTATTAATAGCTCGAAAAACACAAATATAAAAATATAAACAAACACGAAAAGGAAAGGAACAAAACTGTACCAAACAATGACACACCCTTGTCCGTTTGGTGTTTGCGTTCCCACGGTTTCACACTTTTACTAGTGTCCTTCTTCGTTTTCTGTGCCTGAACGCCCTCGTTTTATTTTCATTCTGTTTTGGTGTCAGAGTCGTTTGTTGGGGAACCCGAGCCCAGAACAGACACAGCTGTGGTGATTCTCAGAGGTTGGTCTGGCACACAGCTGTACCGAGAGAACTGTTTGTTGCTCTGATGTTGTGTCATACTAAAGCTCTGCATAAAGCGGAGGCATGTTCTGAAGTGCAGAAACACGACTCAGTTTCGTTTTAAAAAGAGTTGTACGGCATTTGCAAGAAACAAAAAGGTATTATAAGTGCCCAAGATTGAAGATGTTACTTACAAAAAAGTATATAATATTATTATTTAACAAAAGATAAAACATTATATTATACTCTATTTAAAACAACGGTGGAGGGGAGATACGGACGATTGATGTTTAGTAAGAAAGAAGGAAGACACCACGCCAGAGCACCCACCAGCCACTCACTAAGAAAGTATACATTGGTAGCTATCTTGTGCAGGGACGCACAGGCCTCTTTTTCAGTTTAATATAACCTATGAACACTGTGGGTTTTTTTTGTAACAATTAAAACTATAATGTCAATACCATTATTATTATCCGTGGCCATCGTTTTGCCTGGAAGATTTCTAGGACAGACCTCGTAATAACATGGCATTCCCCTGTTATCTTAGATCGTGAACTATCAACTCTTCACTTTTTTTTTTCGTCCGAGATTTTGTCCTAGTTTTGATGTCTTGGAAATGCCACTACAGGTTGTCCGTGACCTAAAAACAAGTAAACTTCCAGGTATAAAAGGAGCAGGAGTTGTTTGGGTTTTGATATTCTACACAAGAGTTGCCACAATCATGGTGAGTACAGATAGAAGTTGTAGATGTCTTCAGCGTTTCTAGAGATCTTCAAGCTCTCCTAGGAGAACTGAGTGGATGTTTGTTCTAAAGAGAAAGAAAAAATCTGCTCTATGGAAAAACAATGAAAGGAAAAGTGTGTTCTGGAGAGATAAAAAGTTTGTTCTTTTGGGAAAAGGAAGACTGCTCTAGGAAAGAAAGGAATTGTCTGTTCTATATAATAATATAAAGAAATAGACTGTTCTATAGAGAATGTGAAAATTATGTTCTATAGAGAACTAGAGAAAGGAAAAATTATCTTCTACAGAGAACTAGAGAAAGAAATGACTGCTCAAAGAAGAAAGGAAAAGTCAGTTCTATTGAGAAAGAATGGAATATAAGAAAACTTGAAATAACATGAAAGTGTCTTGTCTCCCAAAACAAGCAGGAAAACTTTGACATTCTTGTATACCCTAAAAGTAGCTTGTACCTTTGGAGCAGTAGCCAAATCGACTACTTGTTCCACGATTTTGGTCAGGGTTGTCATCATTTCTTTGTAGGGCTGACTCTGGAGATAGTAGCAAAACTTTGTCCAGTGTTTTGACGCCCCCATCCACATAGTTTAGACCATTTTAGAGGCGGGAATTTTAACCCTGTCTATCAGGCCAATCAGGGCTGAGAGGGAGGGAAACATGATCCTAGCAGAAAGACCAAGATACTCGATGAAATCCCCACTCCCGACCAGGTTGAGAATCGATCTCATATCTCTGAATGCGATAGCAAAGCAGCTGTTGTATCGAAATACATTTTAGTTTGTGTTTTTTTCTTCTATACCCGCAGTTGTTTTACGCCATCCTCGTCTTCGTGGCTCTTACCTCCCCTGCCTGGGGTGACGTGTGCACTGGGAAGGGCACTCTGGGGCAAAGATTCCGAGTCAACATGGCCATCAACGATGCCAACAACGACTCTTTCGTCACGGGCCCGGAGATCTTCAACGACTTTAAAAACAACTACGACACCAACAAAGACGGCTGCATCACTCTGGTCGAGTGGAAAAACCGCTGGGAGCAGGGACTTCTCCTGTCCAAGGAATACGCCCTCAATCGTTGGGCCGCCGTGCCCAAAAGTAAGGACCCCACATGCCCCGTCAAGTACGCCTTTTACCGGACCAACACCGACATCAAGATCCCAGTGGCCGGTTTTCTCGGGGACAATCTGAAGACGCTCGTGGACACGTGCAAAAGTGACAGCTCGCTGCTCACCTCCAACTGCGACTGTAGCCAGTTGTTGGGCGCTTGTACCAAGAACCCTTATCTCAGCCAAAACGCCGTGTGTAAAGCGTACGTAGCTAAGCCAATTACGCCAGCCGTAGGTTGATTGATGCTCCCCTCTCCTCCGTCACTGCCCCCCCCCCCACCCCCGGAAAGAAATAGATTTTTAAAAATAACATAAGAATTAAACATTAATCAATAAAAATACCAGTCCTGTGTTATGAACAGTAGGGAGACCAAAACGACCCTGGATCGACTCTGTAAAGGACACCATCAGAGCTCACGACCTGACCCTCCATCAAGCCACTTGACTCACAGCTGACAGAACATTGTATTTTTGTTTCTTCCCCCGACATCTATCGGAATCAACGGAAGGAAAAACTGAAAGTGAAAGAAAAATTAAGTTGTGATTCGTGCCGAAATTTGAAACATACTCTAGTGTGTAAGACTGGAGTAAAGAATAAAAGTTGATTTGATAATGTATTGTCTTGGTGAGTTTGTTGGTTGAAATCACTCAATAATAATCACAGATCAGCGATTAAAAGACTTAGCGACCACAATTATCAACTATAACGGGAACTGGTGTGTTAATTCCAAATTGTTAGTTTTCGTCTTTCAGGTCAAGTGTCAGCAGAAATCACTTTTGAAATACAATATTAGATCTTCGGAATATTTTCTTTGGAAGTAAGAATAACTGTCTCTGTTAAACAAGGGAAATAATTTTATTTATATCTTTTCCAGAAAATCAATTTACTATGTTTCGTACATTTAGTGAAAATGGTGAAATGGTATAGATTTAACGGCCCAATAAACACTGTTAAGTTATTTAAGAGGCAGGGCTCCGAGTTTAACGTCCATCTCGGAAAGGACTAAGCTACGAGGAAAATTCGTGTTAAGTGCCTTTTTCAAGGACACAACGTCGGGCCCCGAACCCCCGAATCTGTAATCTCCCAATCACGAGTCTGATAGCCTAACCACAATGCTACCGACGCCACCTTTGTAATATTTGCATACAGTCTCATATCTTACTACAGTGGAACTTGTGTAAAACGGCTACCCATTGTCATAGAGAAAAGTGGCCGTATAACACAGGTGGTCATCTTAGGCAGGAATGATCAAAATGAAGAAAACATACCATTTGTAACCACTTGACAAACAAGAGTTTCTATGAAAAGGTCAGGTCTAATTTCCACCTATTGATATCATTTCTTCACTTGGGGGGGGGGG